GTGATTTCTATATGGGTTTTAAATTGACTTTTGATTTCGAATTAAGTAGGAAAAACATATTTAAATTATAAAGAGTTGGGAGATGTGATATAAAAATATAAAAATCAGCGACTTCTTCAGGAAAATGTATTTTTGAAGAGACAACATAGAAAGTCGGGATGTTAGTCGTCTTGGATATTATCGACAATCCACAGGCTTCGAGTAAAAGAAAAACTAAGTCTTATCTTTACACAACATTTCAAATCTGGCATTCAGATGGGGTAGAGAGTAATCTGCCAAATTTGCCCCCATCCAAGTCGTTTCGTCGCATTCAATAGATCCACCTTAGTTTCTATTGTGGTTGAAAATACGATTGGATGGATAGTAGAATAGAAGTAATAAAAATACCAGTCGCAATTAATCTTGTGCCCAGTCGAAGATGGAAATCATCCATAACGAAGTTTTATAGAACCACTGCAGTCGGATATCCTGACATTCCACTGTCGGCAGTTGATAAGCGAGTGCATATTGAGAAGTTGGTCTTCTCTTATCTCCAACTCTTGATATCGATTCTCATTATTATCTAGTACGAGAGGCGATAGTCGTGCCCCGCCCGACATATTTTACCACGACCGATTGAAATGCGTATAAGACCAATAAAGAAGTTCCTTTCCCCTTTTTCATTTATTTTCAACCTCTTTTCATATTTTCAACGCTTATCTATTCTAATAACTTACCGTGCATCAATAGATNTTTAAACGTGTACGTTATCTTTAGAGACGACTTCAACGTTTAGATTCATTAGGAAAGTGTATATTTAAAAATTTTTATCCCAATGTGATTTCTATATGGGTTTTAAATTGACTTTTGATTTCGAATTAAGTAGGAAAAACATATTTAAATTATAAAGAGTTGGGAGATGTGATATAAAAATATAAAAATCAGCGACTTCTTCAGGAAAATGTATTTTTGAAGAGACAACATAGAAAGTCGGGATGTTAGTCGTCTTGGATATTATCGACAATCCACAGGCTTCGAGTAAAAGAAAAACTAAGTCTTATCTTTACACAACATTTCAAATCTGGCATTCAGATGGGGTAGAGAGTAATCTGCCAAATTTGCCCCCATCCAAGTCGTTTCGTCGCATTCAATAGATCCACCTTAGTTTCTATTGTGGTTGAAAATACGATTGGATGGATAGTAGAATAGAAGTAATAAAAATACCAGTCGCAATTAATCTTGTGCCCAGTCGAAGATGGAAATCATCCATAACGAAGTTTTATAGAACCACTGCAGTCGGATATCCTGACATTCCACTGTCGGCAGTTGATAAGCGAGTGCATATTGAGAAGTTGGTCTTCTCTTATCTCCAACTCTTGATATCGATTCTCATTATTATCTAGTACGAGAGGCGATAGTCGTGCCCCGCCCGACATATTTTACCACGACCGATTGAAATGCGTATAAGACCAATAAAGAAGTTCCTTTCCCCTTTTTCATTTATTTTCAACCTCTTTTCATATTTTCAACGCTTATCTATTCTAATAACTTACCGTGCATCAATAGATGGGCATAAGACAATGATGGACATTTTCCTCGAACGTATGTCACGTCACACTTGTAGCTTCCTTCGTCTTCTAATTTTAAAGGTGATATTTTTAAATGGGCCGTAGATTTTTCTAACGAAAATGTGGCACGCTTGGGGTTGGCTAACTCTTGCAATGGTTTCTCAACCGTATCACTGTACAAATATAACCTTTTCCACTCGTTCGACACATTTTTCGTCCATGTGATAAAATATACTTCACCGCAAGATTCTACATCTACGTCGCATGGAAGCTCCACGGATTCACCCACGGTTCCTGTAACCGTAGCTTCTTGACCTGTTCAAAAATATACAAAGAAACCTTATTAATTTTCATAAAGTGGAGCGAGTTACCTTAATTATCATTAACGTAATGAATTGCTCTATTATTTATTCCGTAAGTAGTCTACTTTAATTGATAATTTTAACCGGATACAGGCATGTTTGTTTTGGACAAAAAACATTCATTTATAAATCTAGATGTTATATTTTTCTTCTTGTAATATTTATTTTCTAAACAATATCGTTAAAGTCTATTTATTTGTTTACTATTTTTATTTCCAAAATTTATTGATATATCTTTACGTATTCATAAGAAGTAATGGTATTTTTTAAGCTTACTTTGCTTATTATCAATATATATCATAAATATAAATCACAATATGTAAATTAATTATAGTTAATTTTATAAATGCAAATGAAAGATAAATCTTTTACATAGCATAAATTTGTCGTAAATTAAATATATATATATTTGCTAATTATCGATTAGATTTTATTTTGTTATCGTAAAAAAAAAAAAATTCAAACAATTTAACTGGTTCTATGATTTTTATTTAAACGGCTCAACCTACTTGGTATCATGCTATTTTCACTGACTTGACATCTACTGGGAACAGAAATTCCCCAAAGTCGATGTAATAAATTTGATGGCGAAACAGTACATCTCAAGTTTCTTAGCTACGTATTTCTCAATTTTATTTTCTAGAAAACGATTAAATTTGGTTACTTTGGATACTTACTGTTGAAAACTATGAAATGACTAAGGAGTTACTTTCAAATTTTGCTTTTCAAAACGATAAAATATATATTAAAAAAAATTGTTTTTAACTTTATAAATATTTTAAAGTTGCGTGTAAAATTTTGCAAATTCTCTAGAAAAATATATTCTTAAAAATTATGCTTAAATTTTAGCACTAAAATTTCAACTTTTTTTATNTATACATAAATATATTTTTAAAAAGGTATCGAAGTGAGTAATTAAAAAATCCTTCAAAGAATTTTTTTTCTTTTTCTTTTAAGTTTTAATTGACTTAAACAATTTACAAAACTATGGAAAAAAGTGTCTTACTTGATACTTTTCTAAACTTTAGACATGCAATTATAGTAAGATGACACAATCAAACGATTATTTATCACACGGATTTCACCATCGTGACAATGTTGCCCGGAAAGTTAATCAGTCAAACATTGGACCGTCAATTCGGTTCAGCGCTCTCCATACACAATCTTACTCATTATCTGTTGTGATTAATGAGCTTATTTCCGATCTCAGCCGTCTTTGGTTCTAAAAATCCACGCTTCAATTCGTTCTGTTTGTAATCTCCTTATTGAGATTTATTCAAGTGACGCTTGTCAACCGTCGCTCCAGGCTATGTTTCGCCTTATATTAGGCAAAGATGCTACCGGCCATACAATGACATAATGGATATTTACTGCAAGCTCTCTGATCATCTCCAAACAACAAATGAAGTAAGGATGAAATTCGATAACAAACACTATTTCACTAATAATTAATAAGTCAAGTTACTTTAGTAAGATGTTAATTGCAGTTTAGATATTTCTATTAAAACACGATTACATATTATCTGTATTAACGAGAATTCTATTATATTTAGTAATATTTTACGAACTTTACATATTGGATTAAATATTAATTACTATCGATTTTTTTATAAAGATAGAAATAGTTCATTTTGTCCGTTCATTTGTCTGTTTGTCAATGATGAAATCTTGCAAACTGCATGAGAAATTTGAGATTTTATAAAAGTTTTAAAGGCATAACGTATGTTTTTATTTAAAATCTATCCGGGATAGAACTAAGATTTAGAAATTAAATTTTATTTTTCCTTGAATTAATAATTCCTAAAAAGGGCCTTTGCAAGTATTTGATTTGATACATTCTAATAATTAAATAGGGTGAGAGTAGATGAACGTTTGAACAATATATACTGAAAGTTCGCTATAACATTACAGATTTATTATTATTNTTTTTGACGTATTTTTCTAACAGTTGTAAGAATAACAGCAATAATAATAATCTTAAAAATTAAAGATAAGAATAAAATCGATGAAAAGATTTAAAAATTCGATTTTCATCCCCATATCAGATTTAGTTTCTTGTACTTATCTACCTGTCTAACTGCCACACTAACAGAATTCATATAAGTGAAAAGCACCAAGATATCACTTCTTACAACCAAGAGATAGATTTGTTAAATATATATATAAATATATCGATAAACCAATAACGTAAATCAAGCATAGAGAGATGTTAGAGAAATGATTTCCATTTTGTAAAACAAAACATTCTAATTTTTATTTTTTAATTCTATTTTCAAGAAAATAAATGACGAGACAATTTTTCTACTTTTATCGATAGATAAATAAACAAGAAAATTTTTCATCCATTAATAGAAAGTTTTGGCATTATTTTGACATTTTGGAAATTAACTTAGTAATACTTCATCTAAACAATCTGAAAGAAAGAATAATTTGAGAAAATAATATTGACAGTAAAAATGTCAAAAATAAAATGTATTTTGTAGATATTTCTGTCTTTATTTTTCTACTCGCAGATGTTGCATCTTATTACTGAATATTTTTGATGAAAGTTAGGATATTAAGATTTAACATATTGTACTAATGCCTCCTTAACACTTTGCTTGATGCTTGTAATGATCGTTTGCCTTGATAATATTAAGGATAAGGATATTATTAGCATATTGAAGATTTCAGAGTGGCAGTTAAACATTAATGGCGTTGCAAGAGTTTAAACACTTGTCAGAATTATATCATCAGAACTACATATTGAGAATAATTTAAATAAATATGTATTTCTAAAAACTATTTAAATTCAATTTTTCAAACTTTTAAAAATGTACATAAACGCCTTTGTTAATTTACTCTCGAAAATCTAAATAAATTACATTATTTTTAAATGTAATTATTATATTTAAATTGTTATATATAGTTAAATTAAATATAATAATTAGTTAATGCGTATATTTAGTAAGTTATTATATAAATACGTCTTTATAATTAACCATAAAATGACATTTATTGTTCTTTCTATTATATAAAGGAAGTTAGAAATTATCTAATAGCATTAAAGTTTCTAAATTCTGACTAAAAGCTGCTGTCTTGTTACATTAAAATCTTTTTAATTTCTTATTTTCGTAGAAAACTGTAAAACGTTACCAGAGTACTTTAAAGTTATTCAAAGAAAATTTAATCAACTTAGGCGTCTCTTGTATTGTACACACTTAACAGCTAGTTGGTAACTACTCTTAGAACAATCATTTTCTTAGAATAGCGACAGAAGGTTCACCTCCCCCGAATCTACTTTCAGGGTAAACTATAAATTTTCTAATCCCCTGTATATTTAAGAAAGGTAAACCTCTTCTTTTTTAATCTCTTCCATTTATCATTAAGTTTGACACGGACAGCAAAAGGCGATTTAAAATAGTTGCTAGTAGTAGCATTGTGTTCTAATACATGCTGAAATGACACATAATTGATCATCATTTATCTTATGTTTACTAATGGTTCAAAGAAAAAAAAAACCTCTCTTTGCGTGACATCAATCTGTCCAATTTACCTTACCATCAAGATCTAGTCGAATCCACGCAACTAATGGAGTTTCAGTAGCGTCATTTTCAACTCTGCATTCAAGCACTGCACCTAAATCTTCTCTCATCAGCTGGAACTTGACTCTCGACGTAACATTGTTTATACCCATTTCATTCTCTGACAAAGTACTTTCTTCAGGTAAATTCTCTTCTTTTTTCCACCATGACACTTCGGGTATCGGTTTCCCACCGATTGTTGTACAGTGAAACGTAACAATGGTCCCTTCGATAAATGGTCCCACACTAGAACCATTTCTGTATTCCCTTCCACCATAGAGTATGGTTGGTAAGTTGGGTCTTGCTAGAGAAAGAACGAAAAAAATTAGAATTTTGCTTAAAACTAATCTAATTATTTATAAACATAAATTATATATTTTTTAGTTTGGAAAACGTAATTATATCTTCGAAATAGTACAAATACTTTTTCATGACCCTGTTATTATTAGGATAAAAGTGAAATATAAATTTCAATCTACAATTTCTATACTTAGTTATATTATAATTTAATGTATCCATAAAACTTTTACTGGTACAGTATATATTACCAGTCAAGGTTTTATTGCTTTATAAATGAATAATTACTAATGAACTGTGCCTATTCAACTTTATCTGCAAATATAGACTTTAGTGAATGAAGAATTATTGAATTTCATTTTTTGTCCGAAAAGCTTCATTTACTTAAAAAATCATACAGCTTTTTAAAATAAAAATTAGTATTATTCATTTGTTGACAATTAAAATTTTTAACTATATATAAACAGAGTAACCTTTTATCGATTTTCTATAATTTAATATTTTATATTGAAAGATTATGATAAATTGCAATGTATGAATATTATTGTTGACTTTTTAAAAAAAGCATTTTGCCAAAATGAAAAACGTCATTGCAAATATTTCTAACATAAAACAAAGAAACATATACAACAGAAATTATTTCCACTTGATAAGAACGTTAAGTACAAATTACACGAAATCTCATTTGTTGATAAGGAAAGAAAAAGAAAAACAGTATAAAGTGATATATTTACGCAAAAAGAAAACTTGGACGGTATCCAGACATTTTAATTGAAAATCAATGAAAACCTATGTAAACTGAGCCAAGCAAGCATATTCCATTCGCTAAAGTTTTTGTGGTCGCTGCCCTCAAAGGTCCTCCAACCTTTTAGTGGCATTTCTGCAACCACAAATTTCTATAAAACGGTGAATGAAATCGGTAACGTTTAAAACTAAGCCGTATACTGTTACTACTAATTGTTAGAAAATAACGTTTAATTAATTTGCATAATATAAGAACAATAAGATAATCGTATTATGTGTAAACAACATGAAAATACTAAAATAAATAAAATAAAAATACTTTTTGTCGCATTTGTTTGAATAATCACCGTAATTAATTAATGTAAAAAGCATTAAAATAAACGTTAAAATTTATTTTAATTAACAATAAAAGTAATCAGATTACATATTCTTTTATTTATAAATTAAATCTGTGAGTAATTAAGATTATTTTATAACAAGTAAACACGCGAAAGTTAAGATAAAAAAAATAATGTTTTTCCTTAATAAAGTTTTTCTCATTTAATATTTAAGTCAAAATAATTACAGTAAAAATATTAAAGTAGAAAATAAGTATTTTTATTTTTATCATTGATTTTTTTTGTGTACTTTTGTTGACTATGAAAGAAAACAATTGTAAAGGGTAAGCGATGCTATGCAAAACGTAGTTCAATGCTTTCTGTAAATTTAATTCAGTGCACAATATACGAAATTGGAAACCAGCTTTAAAATATAATCTGAAGAGTTAACAAATGGAGAGATAAGTTGCGAAAATTGTGAATAACATATACTAACTTGTAACAGTATATTTAGACATTAAAATCTAACATAAATATAAATCACAATATGTAAATTAATTATAGTTAATTTTATANAAAAAAAAAAGTGTTTTAAAAATGACATCCCCACTACCAATATCAGTTGCTGGTGAAATAACTAATCTCGTGTTGGTTTGTTTTAATTGCTTTTATATCGATTTGGCAAAATTCCCAACCAAAAATACAGAAAGAATGTATCGATAGAAAGCACATTGTTCAATTCCAGCACCATTTCTATCGATTTGCTATAATGCCATTTATTAATTTCCACCTTCCTAACATAAATAGAGATTGGGATAGGTTTTGCAGAAACGAATGGTTCTATGGTGAGTCTTAGATTGCAAGTAAGAGGAAGATAAATATTGTTTTTTCTCCTCGAATAACTAAGCTTCTTTCATCATCCAACAATCTTTACTTTGTAAATTAACGTAATGACTTTGCTGTAAAAGCAATGATCTGAGTATAAAATTAACCGAATTGCCTTTATATACCTTAAATTAAAACTTTAAAAGAATACTTATTAAAAGGAGCAGGGAAAAAAATAGCAGATATCGGGTTGTATGTATTTTTAATAAATATACATCATTTATTTTAGATATTTATCTATTTAATTAAAAATAAATCTATAAGAAAATTTTCTCTTCGAGTTTGGATAGTACAGTAAAATTATGTTTCCACCAGGTTGGAGTATTTTATTAAGAAGACAATATCCGTATGAATTTTTTGCTATTAGTCTTCTCTTACCTTTTAATATGGATACGGTAAATATTGACTTTGTTTATCCAATCAAAAAATTAATTAAAAGGCATGAAGAAGAGTGTTCTGCCTGATAAAGCGGAATATTTATGTTTTAGGCAAAATGATTTTTTTTTTTTATTTTAAAAGTTACTTGTCTAATTATTCGCTATTTTATATAGTGATTACATCGAGAAATACGCTTTAAATTTTTTTAAATTAAAATGTTAATAATATTTTTAAAATTTTACGGTTCAAAAAATTCAAATAAATGAATTTATTTGTGTCATTTTAATGATTTACTGTTTATAAAGTATAAACAGATATAGTATTGAATTATATCAATAATAGCATAAAAATTGTTTATTTTTGTTTACTTGTTTTGAGTATTAAAACATTTTATTCGTAACAAGTATATGAAATAAAATGCTTTAAGCAAAACTTTGTTCGTTTTTAGAAATACAGAAATAAGAGAAGCTACATTTTTGAGAATTTCACGAAGAAATACTTGAAATATGATATTTAAGGTTAAGAGGGATGTTATAAATGCTTGGAAAATCGTCTTCTGTAAATCGTCATCTCTTAAACTTGTAATTTTATTTATTTGAACAACGAAAATATAGCTATATAATAAAAAAAATTAATGTTTTAAGCAAATAAAGCGAAAAGTTAAAAGTAAAAGTATACAACTGTATAATGCAATTTATGAGAATATTGTAAATATTATACTCATGCAATGTTACCAATATTTTTATATTGCCTAATATATTAGTTATATAAAATTTTGTATTAATCTATATAAGATAGATTTTGTATCAAATTCTTTTATGTTTTTCCTTTTATATCGATACAAGTTCTCTACAAAATCAGGCAAGGCAAAGATATCACGAAAACATGTTAGGATATTAAGAAGAACGGTCAAATTTTACTAATATTTACTAAAGAAATTTCGTTAAATTTAGTAGTATTAACACACACAACTTTTAATATATTGCGTTTTTCAGGATTACATAAGACCAATAGATATGTTGTTTTCATCAAAAACTAATAAAGAATTTGCAGTAGTTTCGAGAAGAATTTTTATATCACTAGAAATGTAATTTTTTCCGGTAAAACATAAATGATCATAAACATGTTATCTAATTCTTTAAAAAGAATATAATCTTAACCTAGTGCAATGACCGCTTCATATTCATTGCAGCTAAAGTTTTTGTCGAGAGAGAACATTAAGATAGGTAAAGTAAGTAATTTTCTCAAGATATTGTCCATGGTACTGTCAAAAAAGCCAGTCTGTATGTGTCCAATATCTTTTTAGCAATAATGTCAGCCATAACTTTGAAAGTAATGCCGAAACTAGCCAATCGGAATGGATCTGCACAAAAAGCAAGCAAGAATGTCTTTCATCAGAAACTGCACCTATTGTAACTCTATTGAAGTCATTGTTGAGTATAAAATATATTGTTTGTATCATTCGGATTGTTTTTAGAACTAAGTGATAAAATTGCTTATTTAAGACCAAAACATGGTTGTTTCTCGTACAGGAATTATAAATTAATAACACTATAAATTCAATTTCTTCTCGTATAAAAATTTTATATTCCAACACAACTTTATATCTTATTTTTAACATTACAAATATCTATAAACGAGTATATGTGTGTCTCCCGTATATTAAATAAATATAATTTAAATTTAAAGTTTTTAGTGTTCTTAGTAATGAATTCTATCAAATAAAATAAAATTAAATTTTGTTGAAATTAAATTCTTTGAAAGAAAGAAATGGCGATGGACGATGTTTGCTATGTCTTCCGAAGAAATTGTTCAACTGATTGCCTACAAAAAACAAACATAAAAAAAATCGTAATAATTTAGGGGAAGTAGAGGGCAAAAGTTCAAGTTGATTCTGGTTTTCAACAGATCCAATATAAAATTTTTAATACATACATAAAATTTAATTTAAAATAAATTATTTTTTGATTATCTTATAAAATAAAGCTTATTATAGCATCAGAAAATAATATTAATCAATAAAACAGCAAAGAAAACGTTATTTTTTATTTAGTCACATTGTTTATCTTATTTTTAATTCATTAACTCTTTCAGACGTGATTATGGATATTTAATGCAATTTTCACTATATTTTATTAAAACACTTTCTAATGCTACAATTTGTATGTTTAGCCTTGTAGATATCAGAGAAATTATTAATATTAACAGAAAATTTTTATATAATCAAAATCGTTTAAACTGTAGTACATTTATTACATATTTTATAATGAATGCAAATTATAACTTCTTTCAGAGATATTTTTACATCAACAAATCAATTTAAATTTACCATCTGCTTGCTCTCTCACAAAATAGAAATCGTTATGTCAAACTTGATAATCTTTTTTATGAAGATTTATTAAAGTTTTAACCGCTCTAAACTGTCGTAGTGTGTTTTTCTTTAAAGAAAAAAATTTTTATAGATAAAAAAACAAGTGAAAAGTTTTCAATAAAATCTATAAAAAAATACAAATATTTTAGTAACTTTAAAATTACATAAGCTTTACAGTAATAAAATCATTTTCCCATTTTGTGCAATCTCGAATTTTGCATTCAAAAACAATACAGCTGCAAAGAAAAATCCTCAGATCAATACCGCATAACCTGATACGTTTTCGATTTAAGTATCTTGTGCCTAGTGAGGTTTTCATCCCTACGTTTCACATATTCAATGTCCTGTGGATGTATAATGGCTCAAGCGCGAATGTAGAGTTGGTTATCTGAGCCAGTCTGTTGCCATTCCCAAGTCAATTTGGAGAACGTACATGTAAGGATACAGAAAATTCTACGTCACTTTAAAGAGATATTCAAATAGTTGATGATGTAAAGACTACGTACAGTATACATTCTTATCTGTTGATGGATAGACAAAGTTGTTCTAATGATGAAGATATGTTATTTTTTGTAAATTCAACCTCTAACTTCTTTCAAGTTAATACAAAAGAAGGAATTTTGATTGTAAATCTTTAGAATAAAATAAAATTCTTTAAAATTATGTAGATCACGCAAACTATTTGGAAAAAATTGGTATAAAGATATATCAGAGAGATAAGTTGCGAAAATTGTGAATAACATATACTAACTTGTAACAGTATATTTAGACATTAAAATCTAACATAAATATAAATCACAATATGTAAATTAATTATAGTTAATTTTATAAATGCAAATGAAAGATAAATCTTTTACATAGCATAAATTTGTCGTAAATTAAATATATATATATTTGCTAATTATCGATTAGATTTTATTTTGTTATCGTAAAAAAAAAAAAATTCAAACAATTTAACTGGTTCTATGATTTTTATTTAAACGGCTCAACCTACTTGGTATCATGCTATTTTCACTGACTTGACATCTACTGGGAACAGAAATTCCCCAAAGTCGATGTAATAAATTTGATGGCGAAACAGTACATCTCAAGTTTCTTAGCTACGTATTTCTCAATTTTATTTTCTAGAAAACGATTAAATTTGGTTACTTTGGATACTTACTGTTGAAAACTATGAAATGACTAAGGAGTTACTTTCAAATTTTGCTTTTCAAAACGATAAAATATATATTAAAAAAAATTGTTTTTAACTTTATAAATATTTTAAAGTTGCGTGTAAAATTTTGCAAATTCTCTAGAAAAATATATTCTTAAAAATTATGCTTAAATTTTAGCACTAAAATTTCAACTTTTTTTATGATAAAAATGCTATTTTATGACTCGGATAATAATCATTTAAAAATTCTTTATACAGTTTAATGAAATTTTTAACAATCTACGTAATGTTAATGTTAAATATAAAAGATAAATTGCAAATTTTAATTTAAAATAAAAATAAAGAAAATTTAAGTTTTTACACAAATAACCTTCGTAAAGTGAATTTTTGTGAAAATTTAAAAACTAAATCTTTTCTTTTTTAAATTTAATGTTACTCGAAGAATAAAAATATTTATTTAAATTAATTTTCGAGATTTTTTTAAACGTGTACGTTATCTTTAGAGACGACTTCAACGTTTAGATTCATTAGGAAAGTGTATATTTAAAAATTTTTATCCCAATGTGATTTCTATATGGGTTTTAAATTGACTTTTGATTTCGAATTAAGTAGGAAAAACATATTTAAATTATAAAGAGTTGGGAGATGTGATATAAAAATATAAAAATCAGCGACTTCTTCAGGAAAATGTATTTTTGAAGAGACAACATAGAAAGTCGGGATGTTAGTCGTCTTGGATATTATCGACAATCCACAGGCTTCGAGTAAAAGAAAAACTAAGTCTTATCTTTACACAACATTTCAAATCTGGCATTCAGATGGGGTAGAGAGTAATCTGCCAAATTTGCCCCCATCCAAGTCGTTTCGTCGCATTCAATAGATCCACCTTAGTTTCTATTGTGGTTGAAAATACGATTGGATGGATAGTAGAATAGAAGTAATAAAAATACCAGTCGCAATTAATCTTGTGCCCAGTCGAAGATGGAAATCATCCATAACGAAGTTTTATAGAACCACTGCAGTCGGATATCCTGACATTCCACTGTCGGCAGTTGATAAGCGAGTGCATATTGAGAAGTTGGTCTTCTCTTATCTCCAACTCTTGATATCGATTCTCATTATTATCTAGTACGAGAGGCGATAGTCGTGCCCCGCCCGACATATTTTACCACGACCGATTGAAATGCGTATAAGACCAATAAAGAAGTTCCTTTCCCCTTTTTCATTTATTTTCAACCTCTTTTCATATTTTCAACGCTTATCTATTCTAATAACTTACCGTGCATCAATAGATGGGCATAAGACAATGATGGACATTTTCCTCGAACGTATGTCACGTCACACTTGTAGCTTCCTTCGTCTTCTAATTTTAAAGGTGATATTTTTAAATGGGCCGTAGATTTTTCTAACGAAAATGTGGCACGCTTGGGGTTGGCTAACTCTTGCAATGGTTTCTCAACCGTATCACTGTACAAATATAACCTTTTCCACTCGTTCGACACATTTTTCGTCCATGTGATAAAATATACTTCACCGCAAGATTCTACATCTACGTCGCATGGAAGCTCCACGGATTCACCCACGGTTCCTGTAACCGTAGCTTCTTGACCTGTTCAAAAATATACAAAGAAACCTTATTAATTTTCATAAAGTGGAGCGAGTTACCTTAATTATCATTAACGTAATGAATTGCTCTATTATTTATTCCGTAAGTAGTCTACTTTAATTGATAATTTTAACCGGATACAGGCATGTTTGTTTTGGACAAAAAACATTCATTTATAAATCTAGATGTTATATTTTTCTTCTTGTAATATTTATTTTCTAAACAATATCGTTAAAGTCTATTTATTTGTTTACTATTTTTATTTCCAAAATTTATTGATATATCTTTACGTATTCATAAGAAGTAATGGTATTTTTTAAGCTTACTTTGCTTATTATCAATATATATAAGAAATTATAGAATTATAAAAATTATTATTATATTTTTCTAATAAAATATTTAGGCCTATATAAATAATAAATTTTTTATTGGTTAAAAAATATGAAAATACAAATTCAAACTAACAAATTTCCGAATTAAAGTAGCTTAATAATTACAGTACACTAGTAATTACGACGAAATTAAAGCTAATTAGTAAATGTGACAAAAAAATTCAGTTATTAATCCCACGAATTTCCCTTTAATTGAAAGAAGTTTAAATTAACACATTTTTCTCTTCTTTCTTAATTTTCTAGATTTGGTTATAATATAGAAAAAAAGGAGATGAATAATTCGTTCAAATAAAAAAAAAAAAAAAAAAANTACTAATGAACTGTGCCTATTCAACTTTATCTGCAAATATAGACTTTAGTGAATGAAGAATTATTGAATTTCATTTTTTGTCCGAAAAGCTTCATTTACTTAAAAAATCATACAGCTTTTTAAAATAAAAATTAGTATTATTCATTTGTTGACAATTAAAATTTTTAACTATATATAAACAGAGTAACCTTTTATCGATTTTCTATAATTTAATATTTTATATTGAAAGATTATGATAAATTGCAATGTATGAATATTATTGTTGACTTTTTAAAAAAAGCATTTTGCCAAAATGAAAAACGTCATTGCAAATATTTCTAACATAAAACAAAGAAACATATACAACAGAAATTATTTCCACTTGATAAGAACGTTAAGTACAAATTACACGAAATCTCATTTGTTGATAAGGAAAGAAAAAGAAAAACAGTATAAAGTGATATATTTACGCAAAAAGAAAACTTGGACGGTATCCAGACATTTTAATTGAAAATCAATGAAAACCTATGTAAACTGAGCCAAGCAAGCATATTCCATTCGCTAAAGTTTTTGTGGTCGCTGCCCTCAAAGGTCCTCCAACCTTTTAGTGGCATTTCTGCAACCACAAATTTCTATAAAACGGTGAATGAAATCGGTAACGTTTAAAACTAAGCCGTATACTGTTACTACTAATTGTTAGAAAATAACGTTTAATTAATTTGCATAATATAAGAACAATAAGATAATCGTATTATGTGTAAACAACATGAAAATACTAAAATAAATAAAATAAAAATACTTTTTGTCGCATTTGTTTGAATAATCACCGTAATTAATTAATGTAAAAAGCATTAAAATAAACGTTAAAATTTATTTTAATTAACAATAAAAGTAATCAGATTACATATTCTTTTATTTATAAATTAAATCTGTGAGTAATTAAGATTATTTTATAACAAGTAAACACGCGAAAGTTAAGATAAAAAAAATAATGTTTTTCCTTAATAAAGTTTTTCTCATTTAATATTTAAGTCAAAATAATTACAGTAAAAATATTAAAGTAGAAAATAAGTATTTTTATTTTTATCATTGATTTTTTTTGTGTACTTTTGTTGACTATGAAAGAAAACAATTGTAAAGGGTAAGCGATGCTATGCAAAACGTAGTTCAATGCTTTCTGTAAATTTAATTCAGTGCACAATATACGAAATTGGAAACCAGCTTTAAAATATAATCTGAAGAGTTAACAAATGGAGAGATAAGTTGCGAAAATTGTGAATAACATATACTAACTTGTAACAGTATATTTAGACATTAAAATCTAACATAAATATAAATCACAATATGTAAATTAATTATAGTTAATTTTATAAATGCAAATGAAAGATAAATCTTTTACATAGCATAAATTTGTCGTAAATTAAATATATATATATTTGCTAATTATCGATTAGATTTTATTTTGTTATCGTAAAAAAAAAAAAATTCAAACAATTTAACTGGTTCTATGATTTTTATTTAAACGGCTCAACCTACTTGGTATCATGCTATTTTCACTGACTTGACATCTACTGGGAACAGAAATTCCCCAAAGTCGATGTAATAAATTTGATGGCGAAACAGTACATCTCAAGTTTCTTAGCTACGTATTTCTCAATTTTATTTTCTAGAAAACGATTAAATTTGGTTACTTTGGATACTTACTGTTGAAAACTATGAAATGACTAAGGAGTTACTTTCAAATTTTGCTTTTCAAAACGATAAAATATATATTAAAAAAAATTGTTTTTAACTTTATAAATATTTTAAAGTTGCGTGTAAAATTTTGCAAATTCTCTAGAAAAATATATTCTTAAAAATTATGCTTAAATTTTAGCACTAAAATTTCAACTTTTTTTATGATAAAAATGCTATTTTATGACTCGGATAATAATCATTTAAAAATTCTTTATACAGTTTAATGAAATTTTTAACAATCTACGTAATGTTAATGTTAAATATAAAAGATAAATTGCAAATTTTAATTTAAAATAAAAATAAAGAAAATTTAAGTTTTTACACAAATAACCTTCGTAAAGTGAATTTTTGTGAAAATTTAAAAACTAAATCTTTTCTTTTTTAAATTTAATGTTACTCGAAGAATAAAAATATTTATTTAAATTAATTTTCGAGATTTTTTTAAACGTGTACGTTATCTTTAGAGACGACTTCAACGTTTAGATTCATTAGGAAAGTGTATATTTAAAAATTTTTATCCCAATGTGATTTCTATATGGGTTTTAAATTGACTTTTGATTTCGAATTAAGTAGGAAAAACATATTTAAATTATAAAGAGTTGGGAGATGTGATATAAAAATATAAAAATCAGCGACTTCTTCAGGAAAATGTATTTTTGAAGAGACAACATAGAAAGTCGGGATGTTAGTCGTCTTGGATATTATCGACAATCCACAGGCTTCGAGTAAAAGAAAAACTAAGTCTTATCTTTACACAACATTTCAAATCTGGCATTCAGATGGGGTAGAGAGTAATCTGCCAAATTTGCCCCCATCCAAGTCGTTTCGTCGCATTCAATAGATCCACCTTAGTTTCTATTGTGGTTGAAAATACGATTGGATGGATAGTAGAATAGAAGTAATAAAAATACCAGTCGCAATTAATCTTGTGCCCAGTCGAAGATGGAAATCATCCATAACGAAGTTTTATAGAACCACTGCAGTCGGATATCCTGACATTCCACTGTCGGCAGTTGATAAGCGAGTGCATATTGAGAAGTTGGTCTTCTCTTATCTCCAACTCTTGATATCGATTCTCATTATTATCTAGTACGAGAGGCGATAGTCGTGCCCCGCCCGACATATTTTACCACGACCGATTGAAATGCGTATAAGACCAATAAAGAAGTTCCTTTCCCCTTTTTCATTTATTTTCAACCTCTTTTCATATTTTCAACGCTTATCTATTCTAATAACTTACCGTGCATCAATAGATGGGCATAAGACAATGATGGACATTTTCCTCGAACGTATGTCACGTCACACTTGTAGCTTCCTTCGTCTTCTAATTTTAAAGGTGATATTTTTAAATGGGCCGTAGATTTTTCTAACGAAAATGTGGCACGCTTGGGGTTGGCTAACTCTTGCAATGGTTTCTCAACCGTATCACTGTACAAATATAACCTTTTCCACTCGTTCGACACATTTTTCGTCCATGTGATAAAATATACTTCACCGCAAGATTCTACATCTACGTCGCATGGAAGCTCCACGGATTCACCCACGGTTCCTGTAACCGTAGCTTCTTGACCTGTTCAAAAATATACAAAGAAACCTTATTAATTTTCATAAAGTGGAGCGAGTTACCTTAATTATCATTAACGTAATGAATTGCTCTATTATTTATTCCGTAAGTAGTCTACTTTAATTGATAATTTTAACCGGATACAGGCATGTTTGTTTTGGACAAAAAACATTCATTTATAAATCTAGATGTTATATTTTTCTTCTTGTAATATTTATTTTCTAAACAATATCGTTAAAGTCTATTTATTTGTTTACTATTTTTATTTCCAAAATTTATTGATATATCTTTACGTATTCATAAGAAGTAATGGTATTTTTTAAGCTTACTTTGCTTATTATCAATATATATAAGAAATTATAGAATTATAAAAATTATTATTATATTTTTCTAATAAAATATTTAGGCCTATATAAATAATAAATTTTTTATTGGTTAAAAAATATGAAAATACAAATTCAAACTAACAAATTTCCGAATTAAAGTAGCTTAATAATTACAGTACACTAGTAATTACGACGAAATTAAAGCTAATTAGTAAATGTGACAAAAAAATTCAGTTATTAATCCCACGAATTTCCCTTTAATTGAAAGAAGTTTAAATTAACACATTTTTCTCTTCTTTCTTAATTTTCTAGATTTGGTTATAATATAGAAAAAAAGGAGATGAATAATTCGTTCAAATAAAAAAAAAAAAAAAAAAA